TCAATTAAATTTCAGAGATAAATTATTTTAGCTACTTCTGTTTATTATTTTGCCTCATAAATGCCCAGAATGTCGAGAGGATTGATTAAGCAAACTGAGGGAAGCAGTTGGGTGGACCTATGCTGGGTGGATCCAGTACTGGGTGACTTTTTGGTATCCTAACTGGTGATATATAAAAGACCAGAGATGGAACAGTAGATTTTGAACTATAACTGAACTTCAGCCAAGGGAACTGCTATATGAAGAACATGTAGGTGTACCTTCTTCTCTTTCCCCACCTATGTCTAATGTGTCTATTTGAACAGAATCCAGTTTTACCTTTTCTTGGAATTATCACTTCTCTATATCATTTTCCTTTTGTCCATTGTCTTGCTAAGTTTTAATCTTTGAAGATAAATATATTCACTTCCTTGCTCCCAAGGAAGGAAGAACAAAAAAGATCAAGGCTAGGTTAGCATTCCAAGAGAACTAGTAGCAGTAAAGCTTAGTCTACCTCCTAAGGAACTCTTTAGCCTTTTCATTTGCTTTTAGTTCTTAACAAGATAAGATTCTGATTATTAGGCTCCTTGCTGAATTCAACTGGAAACCAAAAAGCAAGGAAGCCCATTAATAGAGATCATACAGGTTTGACATCTGGGGCACAGAACTGGGTGGCAAAAGATGGTGAGTGTATCTGAAGGGGCAAGTGAAGATGTTCAGCACAAGAGTTGATGGTAGAGCCCTTGGAAGCAACATTCTCAATTGTGGTTAGGCCAGTGGTGCTAGGGAGGGAAAGAGAACAGAAAATGGCCCCATAGCAGGCAGGGATACAAATGACCTGCCCCAAACAGTCACTTATTGCAGTCTCTTGAAAGGGAGTGTCTAAACTGGAATGTTCTTTCCCTCCCAAGGATGCTTTGGGAGAGTACGAGTGAGTTCTTTTTTACATGTTTGGCTTTCCATATACTTCCTATTTTCCCCCACACCCTATTCTCTTGGAACTATTTTCAGTGTACATCATGGAAAAAATTGCTATTAGAAGCCAAATGATGCTCTGAGATCCCACAGATTGAGGGGTAAACCACATATGTGGTCAACTCAATGCAAATATAACTGAGCAAGGGAGAAAGTACATGGTAACTGGAATTGCTCTACCCCTGTCCATTGACTTCTTAGTGTCATCCCCAGATTGTGATTCTTCCCCTCAGATCCTGGCTTTTAGAACTCTTCAGTGTACTCTCTTACATCTTACTAAAGCCCCACTATAAGCCCTGTTGATCATGATATGCAGATATCTTCTGCTCCTAATGTGTCTGATATTGACCTATAATACCCCTTTTCTGTCTCTATTTAGTTTTTTCTGTGAACAGAATGGTATTGAGGGTGCTCGTCATGCAGTCCCATAGAACTTCTACTGAAGTGTAATTATACACACCAAAAAGTTCACAAACTGAACACAGCCATGTAAGCAGCTTCTAGATCAAGAAACTGGATATTACCAGTGTTCCAGAAGCCTTCCTCCCAGGCTGCTAACTGATCACTACCCCACCCCAAAGAGTAACCACTATCCTGATTTATTTTATCTGTTTTGAACTACATAGAAATGGAATTGTATTGAATGTACTTTTTGTGCCTGGCTTCTTTTGCTCAACATTTAGGTTTGTAAGATTAATTTGTATTGTTGAATATCATTGTAGTTTATTCATTTTCATTTGTTGAGTAGTGTTGCAAAGTGAATATACCTCCCAATATTTAGCCCTTCTACTGTCAGTATCCATTTAGGCTGTTTCTAGTTTGGGGACAGTATTAATAGTGCCGCTGTGAACATTCTTATATGTTTGTTTTGGTAAATACATGTACACACTTCTATTGGATATATACCTTCATCAAATTTTTATATTGTGTCAAAAAGACACAGGTGGGGAGAATAGGCCTATATGCAATCCCTGGAGCAAGCGGAATTTTAGATTACTCAATGGCATTATCAAAGAACCAACTGAAGTGAGTGGGGACTCAGTTGGTTTGGGACCAAAGGGAAGAGGTTATTGGAGGGCTTTCTTCATTTTTACTTCGCCCTGGCATACTTCCGAACCTCTAGCTTGGAGAAAACTGTTGTCATAATCAACTTCATTTGTTTAGGAGAATCTAAGACAAAGTGATCTGATTCATGGACCTGCCAGTTGACAAATGGGTGGTGATAAGCTAACTGAGCAAGTGTTAAAAGTGAAAAAAAAAAAAGCATGAGGCAATTCTTAAGGGATTATTTTACCAAAAAGTTCTTTATTTTTTTTTATATTCTTCCATCTAGGAAAGATTTCTGTTATTGGTAGCTATTTTTTTAAGCATGTAATCATATTTTCATATATTGTTGCCTTTCCAAGCACAATTTTATTTGCATATGGT